TCTTTCGAAGGTTTTCCCATTCCTTGTCAAGGGCAGCTTGGGCCTTTGGCGTATTGGCTACTTCGGCTTTTGGCACAAGCCTAGCAACGACTGCACTGAACAGTTCAAGAGCAACATCAAATTCAACTTTCTTGATTCGCTCTTTGACCAACTCACGCAATTGCGGGCGATGCGGCTCCTTTGATGACTTGTCCCGTTCCGGAAGAACGGACATCGCAGGCGCGTGCCGGATCACAGGCAATGTCGGCTCGCCCTCGCGGGCGGCGCTGGTCGGCTTTGCACTCGATGCGGCTTCGGGGTGCTCGGATCTGGCCTCCGATGAGACTGCTGTCTCGAGCACAGCCTTCTTGGCATCTGCACGGAGCTGATCTTCATACTGCTGGGTTAGGGCCTTTCGGTCCTGGCTGCCGAGCATGACCCACATGTCGGACGGGATATCGGGAGGCCTTTTGGATCCGGCCTTCCTACGGACGAGCCGAACCCCATCCCACACATAGCCATCGGGTACTGGTGACCCATCAGGCATTATGCTCGGGTCGAATGCACCGCCTTTGTCAGGCACGACAGGCTTGGTCTTCGCTTCGGATTTCTCCGATGCGGCGGGTTCCTCGATGCGGGCTTGCCCACGCTCCAACGGCACAGGATCATCTCGTGTCCTAGCATGGCAACAGGTGGATGAGATGCAGGGTCTTTCAACAACCTCATCGGGAAGATGAACTCATCAGTCGGAAGCTCAATGCGCTTTGTTCGCTGTACCGTGAGGGACGCATGTTCGATATGGTAATCGAGCCCTTCTAGTTTTGCAACAAGGAACTCACCTTTCCATGCGAACCCAGGCTGAATGTGGTACCCGAGAAACACGCCTTCATTTGATGTTGGCGAAGTCTTGCCTGCCTGATTGTCGGCTCGTGCAGGGTTGTTCCAGAACAGTACCTTTGCTCCGAAAGGTATCTCAGCTTCATCAAAGGTCTTGTGAAACCTGAGGTACCATGGCGAATCGTTTCCATTCAACTGTGGCAGGATGTTGGTCGCAACTGCATTGTGCTGGATTGCAAATGGCCACATCGACAGTGGGAACCCTGACTGAACAAGATTCGCACGTGCTCCCTCCAACAGATGTCTGATTTCCCTTTCTACGAAAGATTTGGAAGAATCAACATATTCAATGGAGGTCTGATGACGGTTCCCCAACTGCTCTATAGCGGCTTTCAGTTCCCGGGAGTTATCGGTGTAGAGAACCTCAACCTCATCCCTACCGGAAATGAAATGCTGGATCCCTGCAACGGATTGCTCCGTGCTTTTGCTGGTCGACGGATAAACGTACCTGAACTGCGTATGCACGTCCTTGATCACAAGAGCACACCATTCACCTTTGATACCTTGCTCGATGTTGGCCTTGAGAATCACATGATCAGCAATGATGTGATCTCCAAACGCTTTCGTCTCGAGCCTTCCCTGCCCGCCCTTCGATCTTGCATATGGGGCAAGCATCTTGGCACGTTGGCAGGTGCGGCAAAAGGGGTTCTTCGGATAGTGTGCAAACAAGTGCTCTTTGGTACTCGCTTCGGCAACCAGATCTTGCTCTTTGCGGGATCTCACAAACCGCTCAACTTCGTCGTCAGGATCATCACCTTCGTCGATGGCTTCGTCATGAACCGGTGCAGGCGCTGGCTTAGATGCTGCTACTGCACTCAACGATGGCTCGGCTTCACAGCTAGAATCCATGTGTGGCACATGACCGTCAACCTTGAGCTGGATTAGAGCACCATCAGGGCGAACCATGGTTGGCGCCTTCCCGGATTCCCAATGGAAGGAATATCCTTGATCCAGACACTTCACACCCAGCGACAGCACTGCGGGAGAACTCTCGAGGATGTAAGGCTGAGCAGGCTCACACAATGCATCGACATTGATGTCGGCGATTTCGGAAGCAGTGATGTTTCCGTTTGCAGTCACAAGGCGAATAGGCTGTGGGGCCTGTTTTCGGATTGCCTTGGACGCATTCCTCAGTGCAGCTTTGCTGATGAGGTCCTGCTCACTACCGGAATCAATAAGCCACACGTCCTTTCCCTTTGGTGCAGGGGTGGCTGCCCTTGGCGCTTCGACATCCTTGCGAACATCGTGAGGCGGCATGGCAATTCTCAGGCACTCATCACATGACAGGCTTGAGATGGAATCGGATTCCACATCGCACATGAAACCACAAGCAGGCTGGGCTCCATTCTCAATGGCCTTGATTACGGCATTCAACTGGTTCGCGGCCTTGCGTGCTGCCTTGTTCGTCCCTTTGGTCGGCCTGGGGCAGTCCTTGGCATTTGGAAACATCCTGTTGTACTGCCGTTCCTCGTACTCAAGCTTGAAACCATCGCCTTCGGCGGGGATCTCACGCACATGAGCATTGGTGTCAAACGACACCCCAATCGGATTGATCGGCTTTGCAAACATGGCGTACCTAGTGCAGACTGCAGCGGCTTTGGCCTTGGGCTTAGGCTTAGGTGAACTTGCACGCTTCTTGGCCGCAGGATTTGCGTTGGCCTCGTTGCTCGATGCCGCGGCGGCAGATTTGCCGCCCGTGGAGGCATGGCTAAACTTGCCTTTGTCACCTCTAGTGCACTTCCCTTGGGCAAAGAAAGAACACGGTGCTTTCTCTCCTTTATTGCCTTTGGGGGAACTTGGCCTGCCACGGGTCGCGGAGCGTCCTCGCGGCTCCTTGCGGTGCGCGTAAGGGCAGTTTGCCCCCCTCGTGCACGAGCCCTTCTGGAAGTCAAAGCAGTACTTTTCCTCGGTGTCCTTCGGCTTAGGTGCGCTCTTTTTCTTGGGGTCCCTCTTTTCAGGGGCGGCAGCACCAGCCTTGGGCGTCGGGGCTTTACTGGCATTGACTTTGGACACGCGCTCTCGGTTCTCGCGAAGCCTATCCCTCTCGATTAGATCCCTCATGCAACGCATTAGGAAATCGTACGATTTGTTGGGATCATCATCACGGCAACGATCATATGTGTCAATGTCGTACCGCAACAGATGGCAGCTTCTCACTTGGCGAAGCAAGATGTCTTTCAACACCTTTTCTTCCGGCGGCCTTTTCATGCCGGCGATCACGGAATCCCAAGCGTTTAGGAAACGTTTGAGATCAATGATTCCTTCGCCGTGTCGCGAGACACGCAACAGGTCCTCCAAGGAGTAGAGGTTTCCGGCTTCTTCACTGGTCTTGAAATATTGGTCAAACATAAACAAGACCTGCCTTCCTCTCATGGCCTTTCCCTCCTTGGCACATTCTTCCTTCGCTGTTAGGATTCGCTGAGCCAGATCGCCTTTCGCTGAACGCGTGAGCGCTGCGAGAATCTTCGTGTCTAGGGTCACGAATTTTCCCGGTTCGCCGAGCTCCTCCAACAGCTTCTTCTTGTCCTCGCGATCGGACCAGACTTCCATGATCCAAGGCCAAGCCTCGTCTGGACGGGCAGATGCAGCGCGGACATCCTCACGAACCGATGTCTTCCATTCACGGTACGTTTCAGGAGTTGGCATCTCTTTGAATCGCAACGTCTCGCTTTCGCGGGTTCTGGGCTTTTCATCGTTCGTGTGGCCTTTCACTAACTTCATCAACATTTTGGCGAATGCTTCTTGACCGAGGTTAGGCCCGAGGCCATCACCTTCGTCTTCATCACCATCGCCATCGCCATCATCATCAGGTGGCGGACCGCCGGGAGGCTTACCACCCTGCTTGCGGTCATTCGACATTGGCCCCTGAGAGAATTGCAGGGGCGGGACCGGTGCACTTGTTTTCACCGGGGATCGGCTGCTACCTGATGGCTTTTCAGCTGGTCCTTGCGGATCGCGAGCATCTGCGGGCAGTGCTTCGCATTCGGCAGTTGGAATCACGCTAGGGGTATATTCAACCCCGTAACCGTCATAGGTAACAAGCGACCTCAACTTTTCCTTTGCATATTGAAATGGATGGGACAACGGGTCCAACATTGACCTTTGGGACCGAGCTGACTTCATGTCGTCGGTCATCAACTCTGGTGAATCCTCTCGGGTATCACCTACCCCTTTGGGCTTCGATCCATCCTCGCGGAGGTCGTGTTGCTTCTGATACCTCTTCAGCTCATCGAGCTCGTCCTGCAGAAGCCCGTTTTGGTGGGCCATCATGTCAATCATCCTGGCGTTTTTCGCTTCAACACGGGCTGTGTCATCGGCGTGCTTGGCAGCTTGCTCATGAAGGAGCTGCTGGGCTTCCGCCAGGGTGGATTCGATGGCTTGCCTAAACTCAGTTGTTTTGTGTCCCATTTCCGCTTCATGCAATGCTTGGGCATTTTCCTCACACACTTGGCTTATCCTAGCTTCAGCGAAGTTCACTTCTTGGATGAACTCATCGCTCACTCGCTGTTCGTATTCACGAATTCTATGCGACTGGGCTTGCACACATTCAGCGTAGTGTGCATGCAGCTGATTCTGTGCGACACGGAGCTCCTCACGGTTTTCCGCTTGCAAATGAGTGACAGCTGCTTGATGCAGGGCTTCGGCTTCAGACCTAATGGCTGCATCATTCCCATTGTACAGTTGAAGGGAATTCATCAGGGTGCGGTTGTACTGCGCATTAGCGCTTGATGCGAACATTCGCACACCGCCGCCGGTGGCGTTGTCGGAGCTAGCTCCGGCAGCATCCACAGGCATGGTGGATCCATCAACTGGCACAAGGGAACCGTCCATTGCTTAGAGCTAGGGGCCTACGGCTGATAACCTATAGATTCAAGGGTTACCGGTTTGGGGCCCAAAAGGAAACAACAAACCGTCCAAGTGCGCTGCTGGCACATTTTCACGCTTGAACAGCCACACTGCGGATGCAATGGATGTAAAACCCCATACTGACCGATCAAATTCTTCAGATTTTGCAGGAACCCTGGTATTCTGTTTAGGGTATTATTTGTTCGGAGTCCTGTTCTCTTGAGCTTTTCCCATTTTGTCCGCCTCCGCTCAAGAAAAACGTCTTCTGAGCGCGGTGCTGGTTGGCGAGCCAGGACACAAAGCGGGGGCAGGCGATGTTCTTGCGCCGGCAGACCTCGGGTTTCCAAGGCCAAGGCTTTCTGGATCCTCAACCTACCCGTAAAAAAAGTATGATTGCCTCTATTGTGTCATGTCCATTGTTTAAGGGTGGTTTAAGTAATATAAGGGCCTAACGGCGAATATTCTACTAACTGCATAATTCCATAAACCAAATCTAGATATATGACCCCTATAGTATTTTCAACATGGCGAATTGACCATTTGGGTTGGTACTGGGAAGCCAGCAGGAACCCGCACTTAAGTCCGAAGCATCAAGACTTGTACCAACCTAGACCTCATTGGACGAAAGTGTTTCGTAGGAAGAGTTGTTCAACCAAGATGGGCAAACCACAATCTGACATCTTGTCCACCCCAAACCAAGACCGCGACCATGGGCTTTAATGGAAATGAATCAGTTTGCCCCTATAGCCCTATAGTTGTTGGTTTGGATTGGTTCGGGGATCTGAACCCCTGGCCTAAACCGCCGTGCTCCTACCACCACGTAGGGAAGCTGAATATAGCCACTGACCTGCGATGTTTCTTCGAAATCCCTGAGAAAAAACCAAAGAAGCACCACTCGAGGACTGGGCTTCGCGGGATTCCCGCAAGGGCTCCAGAGATGTACCCTACCACTTTTGCTGCCTCCGCGTAGGTTCAGAGGCTATGGTCATACCAAAGCTTAAGTCAATTACCCAGCCACGATCAAAACGTCAAAAGGTGAGAGTTCGTGCAAATGGCCCTTGGGCGAATCCCCCGGAAATTGATTTGGTTGAATTTCGAGCTTGTCCCACACGTCCCGTCCCACACACACACACACCCGAATAGACCACAAAGGAAACAGAACAGATGGATTGAATTTCAGAGGACGTGCGCAATTTGCTTGGAGCGCCAAACAGGCTTTGAAAGAACACCAACAGGAAACAAGCCACAGATATCCTTTATGTTGATCGCGTTCTATGTGAAAAGGGGTGAGACCACTGTGTACATCAAGCTGTTCAAGTAAGTGGTGGCCCTAACTTCCCTTCATCTTTGGAATAAAAAAAAGTATCCCTGCCCTTTAAACTTCATGGAGGAACTGCGGCCACCCCCCCCCCCCCCGAAGCCCAATCCCCGCATCATCCACGATGGAGGCCCCGGCCAGGTAAATCTTCTTGCAGCTGTACTCGCAGCAGCTTCGGACCTGAATGTGTTTGCTCTCTTTGTTCTTTGCCGTGTGCTATTCTTCAAGCCAGTCAGATCCGTGCTGGTGCCACATGCAGTTGTTCCTCTTTTGCATTGTGTGTCCCGCTCGAACAGGAGAAAAAGACCCTGTTCCTTTCCAAGGCCGACAAAAAACATACAAATGACCTGCTTAGCGAATGTGGGCAAACAAAACAGCAGGGTGACTCAACAACACGACTCGCATCTTCTAGCATGCCGTGCAAGCAGGATCAAGATGGACCGGGTAGCAACGCTGGGACATATTCCTGTTGCCCCCTTTTTCTTCTTGATGTCCAATAGAGAAACCCCCCAAACACAAACTAAAAGAAGGAAGCCACTGGGTAGAGCCTTCCATCGCTCATTCCTTCCAATCGAGGCCTTCTCAGCCCCTTGATTTCTCAAGGCCTCTGAACCCTCTGAACCCAAATTGAGCGGTGCCGAAAAATAAACCGCTTGGAACATAAAACCCTCTGCTAACAAACCCCACTCTCGCGGCACCTTGCGCGATGCTTGCGCGGCCACACGTGTCACTTTTGCGGGCATATGTGCGTTGTACTGCTCACTTTCGCGGAGCTTTCGCGGGCAACACAGAAACTGCAAGCATGCACTTTCGTAACGCTTTCGCGGAGAGGCCGTCAAATAACTCCTTTCATAAACGTTTTTGGCGCTGCCCAATTCAGGGTACCTCAAATATCTCAAGTAGAACCAGCGAGCTCGCAAACCGCTTGCTTTCACATATAATAGGAAGTTCCATATTAGTTCCATATTGTGGAACTTCCTACCAGGGACCGTCTCAGTTCTTGTAGGAGCCGTCTGGTCCAAATTGGCTCGTAAAAGTGATGTTTCAACTGAGCCAAACTTAGGAGCATAGTGTCTGGCCATCCACGGGACGCGTCAAAATCCGGGCGGATGCCGTCCGCCACAATAAGCAGCCGGCGTTTTCCACGGCAAAGGCGCCGTGGCCGATGATGGCGATGTCCTTGCCCGTCGCCTGGTCCGAGCGCAATCCGGTTGCTCCCGCGAGACGTGACGCGGTGTGGCGTAACCTTTTGGGGGTTGGTTCAAGGCAAATCAAAAAGACAACTCACAAATATTTGGAGGCCCTCTATTTTGACACATTGCTCCATATTTGACTGTCCCTATCTAACCAGGGAGGAATACAAACTTGCCAATAGGAGTCTTGGGCTCTGCTCAAATGCATATTCTTCCAGGAGGCACCCGAACCCTCAAACTACACCAGCTTCGGCAATTTGTCGTTTATAATTTATAACGTAGCTTGAGGCTCCAGGTACACCCTCTAGAGTTTACATCATGAAAAATATACATCATGATTTCTTACCTCCAGTAGCTTCTTACTTGTAGTTGCCAGGAGGACTTCGTACCTCTAGGTTGTACATCATTTCCCCTGGGCCGACTCGGCCGACTCGGTTCGAATTCGCGCCTCGTTGTACCCGAACTCATCGAACATGCCGTAGGCGATGGTTCCCCCGAACTCGTCCTGATCTTTCGGCCCTCGCTGAGTGGAATCCATCTTTTGCAGGAGCCCCTTTTGCTAAACATGACATCAGAGCCCGCATCTGAGGCACACAGAAAGTTTGAGACTTTGTTTCACAGTTGGTCTACGCCGAAATGCAAAATAGTTTCGGGGAGACCCCTAATATGTCGAAATGGCGCCCGGAATGGTTGGTTTTGGCTGGGGTCCTTTTAGAACAATGCCAAACGGGCAGCCTTAAAAAGTAATGTACTCAATATGATACTCGGACCCGAGGTTTTAAAAGCTTCGGATGAACGGGCGCTGGGGGGAGGGGTATGTATGAAACTTGTTTCATCCTGGTTTAGTTGTTCCAACATGTGAGCAGCGCCCAAAACCCGTTGACCTTCTCGTTCTACACAGCTATTTACGCAAACCGTACCAGGCAGTAGAACTATATACCTGCTAAAACAACCACAAAAACCGCATTGGGCGCTCATGCAGTTTCGCAGCCACCAGTCCATTGTGGCAGGGAACCGGCTTTTACTTTGGGCCCAGCTTCAGAATCGGTTGCAACCAGGAACCACCTTTGTTGCGCAACACTAATTACTCGGAAAGCCTGCACAGAATCAAAAAGGAGGGACGGCTATCTCCAGTCGCAGCCAGTCCTCGCCCTTGTAGGTCTCCCTTCCTCGGCCAGAGCATGCACATATGTCCAGAAAAAAAAAAAAAACTATTCTATGTTGTGTTTGAATGAGGAACACCAAGAAAAAAGCCTGGCGGGCATCAAACCCCATGTTGGCCAAAGAGATCAGACTGACGATTCAAACGCATGGGGAGGTATCCGGCTGGCCCTTTGGACCCAGTTCTTCTTTGATCTCAACGAGTTGCCCCACTGGCCATGTTTGCCTTCTGCTTATACATGCGCGTCACTGTAAATGTATGTGTTAAAATAGGGGTAACTCGAAGATGGTGGTTTGCGCTTGGAAACTACCCAAAACAGGGCATCAAGATATTATATAGGGCAAATGAGCGTGTTTCTCAGTACAGGGGATGTCCAGCTTCCTGATGGTATATATTAGGCAGACCAACCCTCCTTTCGACCACCACTAAGACGGTCTTCCCAACAACTACCAGCTGGTCTTCCCAACAACTACCAGCTCCCCCTTAAACACCCGAAATCGAACAATGATTGGGAAATTGTTCAATTTCTTCTCGTGGGGCTGAAATTATTTCACGTACTGTTGTATTGTCTTCTCACCGCATAGTGAGTGATTGTGGTATCTCCTTTTTGGCTGTGAATTCCAAGACCAGGAGGCAGTGCAGGAAAACTCGGAGCCGGAGCGTAAACAAATGCAGAGTTGCGCGAGAATTTAGGGCGTCGATAATCTGGACAAGGTGTGTGCTTGCTTTTTGTGGCGGATGCTAAAACACACCCCAAATCGTTGTCTTTCTCAAGTGGTGTTGAACACTTGCAATTTGGAGGGGTGCTGGTATCAAGTTCAGGAACTTTCAAGGGGGCCTTGAAGGGTTCTTGTCTGGGTTTCGACAAAAAACACGCTTGTCTAGGGGAACAGGGCCCGTTTCGCCCAACTCGGCTTCGATGTCAACCTCAGGCAAGGACTGGGCAGAGAGAGGTTCCCAGGGTACAGCATCACGCCTCCCGCTTTGATCGTCTCATCCTGTCGAACTCAGAAACGGTCGAAACGGGGAGTCCACCCAAAACTTGGAGAGTCTCCCATGCACTTGCCAAATAGACTGTAGACTGCTCGATATGTTAACCGAGCCTTAAAAAAAAAGGTCAGATCCTGGAAAGACCACACACACACACACACACGTGAATTGTACACCCAAAAAAGAAGCGCGTTACATACATGAACAAGGACATGTCTCCTGAGCCGGGCTGACGTGTCATAGTTCTCTGTTGTGATCTGCTGGGGGTCTGAGGAGAATTTTTGCATCCAACATACCCTACCATCCGCTAACAGCAACCCCGAGGGGTGCAGGGCCTAAAACGGTGTTCCAGCGACCGACAAAGCCAGGTTCCATGTTAGCGGGAGGGCACGAACTTCCTCCTCTGGGAACAGGGTCCTTTTGCCGCCTGTTCTATTGACAGGCTTGGTAAAGTCAACCCAGTCGATTGTGGGTTGTAATCCAGATGGCTAACCACTAGGCCAAACGGAGCCGTGCGAAGAAAACAACTGGCGCCCGCATTCTGATGGTTGAATTCAAAGTCACGTTGCCCCTAGGGCACCTTCCCCACTTAGCTTCAACGGGAACTCGGGCTCAAACCCACCACTAATCCAAACCAGAAATCCCCACTAAGGGGTGCCTGATTGAAGGAAGCCCCCTCAAGAAAGAAAACGGCAACCGCGCAACTTCGAAGCGGTCGCCGCCTTTGCCTTTGGCTCCGCGAGCTTCTGAATGGTCACCTCCTACCGCCACATTTCGGCGACGCGCGGGCCGATGTTCGTGGCGAAACGCCATCCATGGGAATGTCTGGGGGTGAAAAGTAAGCAGTCACAAGTCGCTTGAGGTGAGCAACAGGAAAAATGACTTAAAGCAGACCTTGGACATGTGTGTGGTCCGGCTGTCGGGGACGTTGACGTTGGGGCCCTCCCAAACCAACAAACAAGTGACTATCAGTTGACAGTTGTCCAATAGTTCTGACTTGGTGGTCGAGAGCTGCAGAAGAGTGGAAACTGGGACGCCCCTTGTTGGACGGTGGGTTGACCGTAGACCCAGCCGGATTGGTCTAAGTCGGCCTCCCGTGAAGGCATTCCCGACCATCCCAAGAACCAACGTCAAGTTAGCATGCAAAACAAGGGGCCGGCTATATCTGAAATTCAAGGGCAACAAAAAGAAACCCAAGTCCGCCGCTATTTTGCAAAACCACCTGACTTCCAACGGTTGGAAGCAGTGCAATCAGCCAACACGCCATCAGGACCAACCTCCGAGGCCGGAGACGGTTCAAAACTCGAAGCAGTCGTTGGGGGGGGGGGAGCCTAGTGCGCTTTACAGGGAAACTATCATAAAATATGGGCTTCTTGAATTTTGGAGACAAATCCAGACGCTCAAGTAAATTCAAGCCATCTGCTCACCAGAAGCAGCTTGCTACTAGCGACTAGTTTCGACTGTGCAGTGTTGATCCCACCTCAAGAACCGCACTTGAGCAGCTCCCAAACCCCCAGCTAACTTTCGGTCCGCAACCAAAAGATCGATCTTATAAGAGCCTAAATAAATAGAACTGGGTTGGGGTCACATTAAAACCAACTTCAGTACTGATTACATATGGGAGGGAAAACATAGGGTATAACTTTCAGTTATGATGTTCAGCCCCTTGTATTCTAGAAACTTGGCTAATATTCAACCCGAACCATGTTGTCCACGGTCGCTGTAGTCAAAAGCAAAGAAATAAAATGGCACGACACCTTGGCAACGAGGCAGTTTAGATAGCCTTTACCATGCCCTATGACAGGCAAAAGCCGACCCTCGCCGGCCCAGGTTGAGTGAAAGCTCATGAAAGGAGGCACCATCTGGCCAGCGCTGAGTGAGGGTAGACTCGCGCCCCTGATCACGGTTAAAAGCTGATTTGCTTTGGGCAAGTGAGTGGGTTGAAAGATGATTTCGCGGCCACTTTGGTATCGTCCAAAACAACCAAAAAAGGACATCGATGCTACACAAGGTATTTCTTGTTTAGGAAGGGGGGGGTTGGGTACGCGACCAGGGAACACGCCATCTGGCAGAAGAATCTTGCACATCGATTTGGAACAACCCAGACTGGTTGTTCAGTCACTCTAGCAAAATGGGACCGCTTTTTATCTGGGTGCTAAATGGGGGTCTGGAAAATTAAGAACCTATCCATCCGCTTTTGGTTTCCTTTCGGGGTTGAACATATGGGCCAGCCCAGCTGTCATTTCTAGGGAACACGCAGCACGGAAAGCCAACAACTGGGTGAGCCGCCCCACAGCCCTGGGCCCCGGGCATATTTGGTGTCCAACTTGGCTCCCTCTGTCTTCACGTCCTCTCGACGTCTCTCTGGAGACAATGAATCAAGCTGTTGCAGGTCTAAGAATCGGCCTGAAACATGCCACGGTCTATGGCATGATCCTGGGAGCTCAATCTTGATAACTATTTGGCCCATTGTGATACTCTGAAGGACACACCCACAGGGCACTCACGGTACTAGTACCAAAAACCAGGCCACACCCATATAAGAAATTACTAAACTTCGCGGATACCCTAATGCAAATTGAAACAAATGCCTGAGATGTATTTACCATGAAATACGAAATGAAGCCGCAAGGAACTCGTCATAGTTCAACTTCACGACACCACTATTCAACACCTCCAGCATCTCCAATGCCTGCTGGTTGGCATCTGTCCATTCGGGAGTTGAAAGGAAACTTTCAAAGTCCTCACCATTCACCTTCTCAATCTCCCCGCTCATTCCCCTTGGTCGTCAGGGCAGACGAGGTGCTAGAAGCACCTGAGGCAATCTTGGCGCTCCACTCATTGATCATTTGGCGGATGACGTTGTCCTTCCTCGCGCTCTTGCTGATTTTCAAGCCCAAGTTGCTAAGCACCTTGTGAAGTGTGGCAACCGTCATCTTCTCAAAATCGCTTGCAACTGGTTCCTTCAGCGTCATCTCTGGGATTTTCGCCAACTCAATCACATCTCCGGGCTCCACTTTCACAGGAAACAAGTTGCCATTGCCATCTTTGAAGAAGGCAAGCGACGCCATTGAAGCAAGCGGGGACAACTCAACAAAGGTAGAGGCACCTAGCGAATTGAGAGCAAAATGCGCTTCAGATAAGGGGTATTGCCAGCGTTTTGAGGCTGCTCAACTTTGCCTATGCATCGCTGTTGCTTGCTGCCACTTCGTATCCCATGCCCAACCCACTTGACAAGAAATTCAGACCAAATCTCGTGTTGATATGACGAACCCCTTCACCCATTCCATGTTGGATGTCCCCCAACTGAATTGCAGTGGCTGATTTCCCAAGCAAAGCCCCCGGGCTGGGGGATTCCGACGTGGGACTAGGGGCCCGTGTGGATTTTGTGACCGGGGCGCTCCACAGATCTTGGGTTGAAATTCAGAGGAAAAGCAAGCAACAAAAAGACCACCACTTTTATTGGCCAACAAAAAGGGGTACGCAGAAAACAGTATTTGCTCACTCTGCTCCATATTTTCTCTACCCTAAAACTTTAAATATGTTTGGAGACAAGTGATTGATACCCTGTTTGATTGGTCATGGATTTGAGGTTCGGAGCAACTCTGGTGTAGGTTCGCCCCTAGCAATACGCATCCTTTACCTTTGCCCAAAGGACCTGGAAGTAAAAGAGTGGACCTTGGGGGAAACAAAAGGCCAAATGGTCAGTATCGGACAACTGAGATCTTGATCCTTGACTTGGTCGCGTGTCCTTGACTTCCGTCTGAAGCCGGCAGTAGGGCATGATTCCGTACCTCGGCGGCGACACGGAAACACATCGGCATGTGCGGGAACCCCGCCCCCCTGTATTTGATACAACTTTGAAAAGGAAACAGAAGCTATGAAAACTAGCCACGCAGGGCTACTATCTGGATTCATGGAGACCCTTTTTGATCCCATTCGCAAAGTGACACAAAGGATCACAGCTAGCCTGGATGCTTTGAACGAACTTGCGGAGTCAGGGGACTCCAGTGGTCTTGGTCAGCCCAAAAGCGAGCGAGTTGGGTGCAACTCTTCAACCCCCCTGGGCCCCTGATTGATTTCGGGGTCTAGCGACAGTACACTGAAACCCATGTTGATCTTGTGCTCTGTTCCGTATTCTACCCTATAAAAGCATGTTTGAGGGAGACCCCAGCAGTGACTGGAAAGGCAATATACCCTTCCAATTGGAGATTCCCTTGCTGGAAGAAAGGCTTTTCTAGGCCCGGTGTTGAGTATGGTTGAAAAACGTGTCTACTCGAGCCGTACATCGGGGCCCAAACCCCCAAACACACTAGTGCCCGAAACAGTTCGGTTTTTGGTCCAATTTTGTCTTATTGGGTTTTTGTTTACTTTGGTTACTCGGGTCTCTATGGTCTTCTAAATGCCTTCTCCTGATAGAAACCCCCGGGTTGAGAAAAAAGAAGGTGCATGCGAGACGCGAGGACCCGAGGCCGGAACTCGTTGGCGCCGTCTTGGAACATCTGCAAAAGCTCCTGAGGGCATTTATCTGAATGAGGAGAGAAGGTGTGAGTATGATTTGCATAAATGGGCCTACACTTTTTTTGGGGTACACAATTTCGAGGAGCTTTAAAATTGCAAAACAAAGGGAATCCACCCATGTTTGGAGGTGCCATTATTTTGAGACGCACCCCCATGTGTAGCTATGAATATATGCACACGCACACACCATGTTTCTCTTGGGGGAACTAGAAACAGTGTGTCGTATGTTGTATACACATACTATATGTCACCCAACCAATGTGGAAGCCATCAGACAGTCCCTTGGACATTTAGTTTGTCATCCAACCTTCTTCCCAGTATGGAGCATCAGGTTCCATGTGGGAGGAATATTTTGGGCATAAGTATGTTCTGGGCGATTCAAAAGCTGCCAGGGCAGTTAGTGGCAAGGGTGCCCTTTGCGAAGGGTGGAGTCCCGAATATGTTTGACCCTGAATTAGAAAATACGTGGGCCTCATTCCAGAGGCAACCGTCATTTTGGGAGGAATACCCCCCAACCACTTTCTGCTGGTCAAGGGTGCCCGAAAGTTCTGGTTGTCAAATGGTCACTGCTCAACTGTAGACTTTCCTGATCGAAAGTTCAGCTGCGCTTTGGGGCACTGTTGTTACTAACCGACTGCGGGGCTTTGGTGGTCAATAAGGAATTAGGCGAAAACGATTCTGGCTTCTTTCTGTGTCGCTTGGTTCATGAAGGGTCACCCCCCATCCACTGACTTTCATGGACTTTTTTGGGAGGAAAACCAGGAGCCCCAGTTAGGTTCCATGTGGGAGGAAGGGCAGGGACTGGGGACTGGGCCAACCATATTCATCGCGACTTTGCCACTGAGCTGACGAGACAGCCCAAAATTGGCTGCCAAACTAAGAGGCAACCAAAGACCCCCCTACCCTTGGACATGTTCCTAGAACCATTCTTGAAAAGAGGTCTTGATTAGAAGGAATCTGAAAACCTTTCTGGGGGTCTCTGCTTGAAGGTACTAAACACCTACAATTAAAACCAAAAAAACAAGCTAAACTCATGAGATCTGCACATCTCCCAAATCGCAATCGCAAAGTGTACTACAACAAGCCCTCAAAAAAGAAGCAGCCCGTTTCCACCGGGACCTCTAAACTCGATACTGTGGAATTCGTAGGGGACCTTGCTATTCCCGACCCAAAGGGCTCTTGGGATGGTCCTCTGGAATGTTAACAGGATGAATCTCAACCTGAGTGCTTTCTAAAGAGAATCTTGACCCCGAACGTGGGATTCCCACTGGCGGCTCATGGGACCCCGGCAAGCCTATTCGGCGGGGCTTTTCCATATAGTTGTCCAAATTGTCCTTTGGTCCTTTGGTCTTCAGCTTTGGCGCGCAAAGGCGTATACACTGAAAATCATACTTTCTGACTCTATTCCACATCTAGTCTGTCAATGACAATTCTTGGAGGAGACATCAGACGTGGTCAGAATTCGGAAGTTGCCATTTGGGCCTTCGCCTTGCTTTCTCGGCACTGTGGATGCAAAACACGAAGCCACTCAAACCGCCAAGCCCACAATCACCACAACGAGAACCCTCACTGCCACCAAGCCCAACACCAAAAGCGAAACCTGATCCACAGCCCAAACAAACAAAAAAACAAACAAACAAGCAAAAAAGCAAACAAACACACAGAAGCCGTTGCGAACCATCTCTTGGCACACCTGGGAATCCGGACATCGCGGGAAGGCCAAGGATAGTCGTTGGTGGGGCAGGGAAGTGTCTCGTCCTCGACACGAGCGAGTCAGCCAGACGAACAGATGTTCCCAAGATGCGCCCAGATGCTTCCCCGGTCAAGCAAACACAAACCTGGTTGCAAGAAATAGACCCACAAGAAGTTAAGGTCTTGCTTTTGCCAGTTGAAAAGCAAACTATGAAAAACACAGAAGTCTATGGTCCATTCCGGAGGACATGGGGGACTTAAGTGTCGGCCAATTGAAAAGGACGGACATCGACCACTAGCATGGCAAGACTTAGAAAGGTAAGGTTCAGTCTGGCATGGACGCGTCTGAATGTAGCTGCTATGTCCCTTTTCGACACTGGCCTCAACACAAAGATACGGCCACATGGAATGCTCCATTGAATGCCCATGTGTGTGTGTGAGTGTACCCTTTTCAACTTGGTCTGACACATGCCATTCTTTCCCTAGATCCTGTTGCTCGCCAAATGGCCCAACATGTCTGCTTTGCTTTTCTGGAATAATCATGGGTGAAAGGATGTTTTGATCAACCTTATGTCATGAAAAAAACAAAGGCACGGGATTGCTTTTGCTTTTGTGGGCCGTTGAGTGATACAATGGGTGGGTGGGTACTTCTACGCCGAAATCAGTCATGATGCAAGAACTAGGAAGGTCCGACTGGTATCGTGGCAATACACTATTCCCAGAGCTTCCAGTTTCAACACGTAACCAGCGTTTTACCCTTAGGTTTTACATGGGTTCCCCTTAGCTACTGTCACGAAAACTGGAAGTACTGGGATTGTGAAATCATCTTCTAAGCTTTCCTAGCATCGTCTGGTTCTTCATGGAACCATTCCCGGTTGGCGCGAGTTTGGTTCTGAAGTCTGGGCGCTCCGGGCCCAGCCCAAGTGGTACACGCCCACCTCCGTCTGGAGCTTGGACCTCAGTGTGAGTCACAATAAATACTCCAAGAATTGATGGTTTTCCTTTTGCTTTGGACAAGGTGATTTTGGAAATGCTTAAATTGTATCTTAGGTTTAGGAAGCCCTGTGAAAGGAGTGTACCCACCATCCCAGCAGTCAGGGGCGGACATCCGATTTCTGGTGGAGACCATCCCCTTACCTTTGTCTACCCGGATTTGATTTCTCACATCTTCGCACCTTCCAGCCTTCCAGCCTTCCAGCCCTTCCAGCTGTCCGGGTACGGATGGCAGTGTCTCAGAAATGATTGCAGGCCCTTGGTTAGACTCCTTTCGGTCTCCTCAAAGGAAGACATCCTGAGCGAGAAACTGGTATTTCCACTGTTCCAGCAGGGAATGAGGAAATCACCCATACCAAACACTCCTGGTGATTTATTTAAAGACCGATCCAATTTTAGTTCCGGCAACCAGCTATCACTCGAGGCTTGTTCCCGAAAGTTTCCTGGTATCAAAGGAATCAACCCCTTCCTACCTCGAAAGAAACCCTTTGCACAACTTCTATTGGGTTGTCATCTAACGGCTCGAATCGAGCAACCCTACCTTGTAGGTGCAAAACGTTCCAACCTGAAAGTGAATGCTAATAGGGGACGCATTGATGAACATCATTTAGATGGGGAATCGTGCCCACTAACCACTTGTGAGGTAGTTCAACTCCAAAGTCATAGTCAGGATCTTCGATGGATGTGGGTGTCTGTGTTTGAGGGAACTATGTGTTTGGTTGTTTCAAGGGAAACCAAAGGGAAGCCACACAATTTGGAGGGGGGGGGGGTACTATACTGGCCTAAATAATTAGAGGATAATTGCAGTACTTTAAAGCCACATGTTGACATGGTAGGGGTAAACTATTACAGAGTCCTACAGTAGGATATAACTTAAACAAGGGCCTCGATGAACAATTGATTGTCAATGGCCCCAGGTCTTCTCCTACGACCCTGCATTAGTACTATTAGTATGTGTTGTTGGGCCTTGTGTTAACTATCCCCCATCTAAATCCATATCCACCGGTTCCTTGCGCTCGGATTCTCAGGCCGCGGCGTCACGTTGGCCTGATCCCACCACGCCATACCGCCCACCTCGCTCGCATGAAGATCAGCCACAACTTGCCTCGGGGTTGTGTAGTTGTTTTTTCAGTTGGACAATTCATATCTCAAGGAGGGCGTTGAATTTCGAACCAAAACCTACAAGAGGAGAGTTGGCATGGAAGCTGACTGCGACCCGTGGCTTGCCTGACATGTTCCTAATCCGGAGACTTGTTGGGGAACCCACAATTTGTGGGAGTGGCATGGTCAATATTTATTGTGCCCCTAGCTTACATGGGATCTTGGTGAGAAACCCTCATATAGTCTCATATAGTGATAAAGGGGTGACCCATGTCGTCCTGTCCTACAGCAAATGAAAAGTTTCGACCGCTGCTGATTCTCCCGAGCGGATTTTGCATGGAACCTGCGAGAGAGGGTCCGTGCCATGCTCCTCGAAAGGAGACCTTTCCGGGAACCCCCATCCGCTTGGGGCAACCCCCATGTAAAAGCATCAGGCTCATCGGACCAAGGTCAGCATCAGGGGAACCCACAACCCCTTGCATCCCTTGCGTTTTGTGGACGTTCGGTTCTAACCCCTGTCATTTGGTGCAGAACCACCCCGCATTTCCAAGAGGAGCGCATCACACGGCATCCCCGCCAACCACCCTTGGAGGTAGGCACTCCGGGACTTGGGATGGCTCGAGCTGGGCTTGCAATCAGGAACTGGTAGAAAAAGGATGGGGGTCCTTTGGGGCAGTTTTGGATGACTTTGGGTGATGTTTGAGGGGGAAGCATAGGAAGCCCTGGAGTACTTCCCGTCGGAGCCTTAAAATGGTGAGTGTAAGGGAGAACCATGCTTTCATATCAACCTCAACTAAAGTCCTATTAATGTTGACCCCGGATTATAAAACCGTCCTATTAAACAACAGAGTTTGCTTGGGGAGTTGACTTGTCTTGGGGTTGGGGGATTCCTCTTTGATGATGATCCATCTTGAGGGATTACTCGGAGAGGAGTTGTCCGAGGTGAGCTTTGCAACCCGTCAGCAGCTTTGTTCCTTGCAGCTTCCCCCTACTAGCACAAACATAACCAAACAGCCAATAATGCAAAAACACCAATCCATGCCAACTATCCAACAACAAAAAGGAACACAGACATCTAAACACGCGACCCACCAAAAGGCAAACACTAACTACCCAGGGTGTCTATTTGGAGGGATCCCCTGGTTTTCCTTTGGTTTCCCAATAAAACCACACAACAAATGTACAAACTCCGGAAGAAAAAAAAGACGCACCCGCTCTACCATCAGCTCGCCTTCGGCTTGCGGTCGAAGATCACAAAGTTGTACCTCGCGCGTGTCCCGGGGAAGGAATCATCGCCCAAGCATGATAAGGGGCTGAATGCTTTTTCCCCACACCCCTACTAGAATAAACATAAGGCTTAATTATAAGATTATCCCCACACCATTTCAATGATTTAGGCCTTTGCAGAGGAGAGCAAGAGAGAACAATCGTCTGGAGATGCCTTTGCAAGCTTTGTTCCATATCCTTTGGGTAAAGTACCTCAACAAGGCTCGTACCCCTCTCCTGAAAGGGAGTATATACCCAATGTAAAGTGGGCTAACAACATAGAAGCAACAAGGTATGACATCGAAGGGGTTACCATGATTTTGTATATTTGCAACTGGGCTGCATCTTGTTGTTCTTTGCTATAGTGGCGTAATATCAAACGCATACCGCCTCGGCTCACCATGCGTGTTTTTGCCATGCATGGTCGCGACTGGTGATTGTTGTTGCTGTTTCTCAGGCAGAATCACAATAAACGCACACACACACACACGCGTACAGAAAGGCCTAGCGGGTTTGTCATTGCTCCGGCATCATTTTTGGGATGTTCAAACGGCGACGCAAGGGAATCCGGGAAGTGCAAGTAGTCTTAGGGGTTGGTCTGGGTTGCTTTCCACAAATATTCTGCGCACAAACAATCGCACAAAATCTAATTTTTGCCTGGTTCATTTGTCCCGCACCTCGGGGCAAACAAGCGGACCATGGTGAAGGTCCTTTCCTTGCGGATCCAGTATTAGTGGTTTTGGATTGCTTTAAAATAGCCCTTCAATTGTGCTAGGGTGGAAAGTATGCTAGCTCCCCGTCTAAAGGGTGTCCTTTGACCCACGGAGACAAAGCAATACAGGGTCTGAAAGCAGGTTGAACGGGCAGGACTTTGGCACCATTTCGAAAGATGTGGGGTGAGAAATAACTGGGAAGGCGACCTTTCCAGCCTCATTCCTGCTATTGAAATCAAAAAAAGTCCATTGGCCAGGCAAGCCCACCCATATGAGCTGTGCATGGCTATCAATGCCTTGGGCTCCCCCAATCTTTGGTGTCTCAACCTCCCAACAGGTAACAAGGCACCCAGAAACCTAAAACAAATTCAAGCAACAGACACATACAAGTACATGATTGTGGACAAAAAAACAACCCGCTCTTTGACACCATGCGCATAATTCTCATCCATACGACTCTGCCTGGGAACTCTCGCCACTCACAAAAAGTGGAAACACAAAATCCCCATCCCGCAACTGTTGGTCTTCTTTAAAACATCCAGTTGGGGGGAGGGGCCTTTAGCAAAGCTGCGAGGAGTGGGGGCAGCCTTTGGCCGCTGGGCGGGAACCCGAAGAGGGTAACCTGGTCTTTCACACTGCATGAGCCCGTATGCATCCTTGGGGTTGTTCGGTTTTCCGGGATTCTTTTTGGGGGGGATATCTCACGCAACGAATTGACTACCAGCAAGCTGTACTTCCTTCTTTTCAGGAAAAGTGCCACGCCCGAGTTTGACAAGAACTGGGCTCGGGTTGTCCACGAAACCCAAAAACGACCCTTAGGGCAAACAGCACTTTGTCACTGTCCAACCCTTCGCATGGTACCAAAACAGAGTGTCTTTGGCAGCCATCGACTTCAAATAAAGAGAAACAAAACACTAAACAGCAAACAGGCATGCCAACAATAGCGAAGGTGAGTTGCCACAGGCGCACTCGTTGTACTTCAAGAAGACCATGGCCTCGAGCAAATGGCATTTGCTGAGAGGCGAGCTCTGCGCGCTACCCACGCGCTTTGCCCACGCGCTAACTCACATTGGCCCACTTAGCTTTTGTCTAATTGCAGTAAGGGATCGTTGCGACTGTTTGTTGGGTCCGAAAAAAGGGGGGTGCGTCATACTGGGCCTTGAAGATCGGATCAAGGGTTCATGACATGAAAGCACGACAATTGGGGTCTGCGTTGCAGGGGGTATGACTCTTAAGGTAGGTGCTGTCAAAAGAGCAACCCGATAAACAAACTGGCAGCGCTGCAATAGCTGCATCCCACACGACAGGATTTGGGAGCCCTGAGCCCTGCTTGTTTCACCAGCTAAATGTCTGCAAAAAAACCCGAGCTGGAATAAAGCTATGGAAGGAGTACAACCCCCCCCCACATATTGTGCAAGCAGGCGGGGAGTCGATGAAGGGTTGGTCCCTTGACAAGGGACTCTTCAACGGACAACTTGACATGTCCTAGATGGAATTCATGTTATGGTATTGGCTTCCAACAAGAGTACCCTAGCTAAACAAATCAGTGTAGCTGGTGAAGCTTGCCAATAGATTCAAAGGCTAAGTGTATGAATGCACATATTAACCACTAGTGTCCATGCCCATCCCGTGGCCTGGGGTTTCCCCAAAGACCGCAGGATCTACTATAAATCCCAATGGGCTAATATGGATGTCCAGGTATAGGGGAGAGATCGTGTTTCGCGGCCTCCCCAACCAGAGGTTCCGTCAAACCTGGCTGTTCGCTTTCCAGACCCAATACAGGAAGACAACGAGGTAGCTTCGCATGGGAGAGCGAAGCGGGCATACACAAATTGGTGTGTATGTGGGTGTGTTTTGATTGTGGAAGACGGTTCAAGCAAAACCGAACGGACATTTTGACTAATGAAGGGTCTCACTTCTACCAAGCACCTGAAATAAACGCGTACTTCTTGGGACCTCAACTAAACATGGACCAACATGGCAAAGCCAAAAGGTCAAAAGGTCCCTTTGGACGGAGCCCTACAAACACACACACACACACACACACTTATCTCGAGAGGCTTCACTAGCCGAGATGCAAAACGCAGTCAGTAAAAATGCTTGAATGCAAATGCAAATCAACAGGTCACAACATCGACACCGAACAGGAAGCAACAGCGACAAACAGAAACCGCAAAAAGAATCAGGAAAGAGGGTCAGGAAATAGGCAGGTACGCCGGATTGATCAGATCCGGTATCCACCGAAATGCCGTAGCTTCATTGGACTGGATAGGCAAATCGGCTCCAGTCCCCCTGCAATGTGGAATTTCCGTCCGTGCTCCAGGACGCTTCACACACACGGAGCCCCAACTGGGGCGACATCACTTGTGCAAGGCCCATTGAGTCTTGCAAGCATCAATTGTGCGAGAAAGTCTTGTGGCGATGACTGACCACACATACTTGGCTTTGGAATTGGTCTTAAGGGAACGGAGGAGTTCAATCTCTCCCTCAGTCCAAGGCTGCGAGGCTTCAGGTTCGGCCTCAGTAGAGGCATCAGTCCTGGTCGATGTGGTAGCTTCGCTTGGTCCACGAGCAGGTTTTGGATGCCGTAGATCGTGAGGAGACCAAATCACGTGCGCGGCGAGCTCCTTTTTCGCCGGGAGAAGACGAAGGAGGGGTGGGCGGAGCCCAATGATCAGGGAATTGTTCGTCATGATCAGTGGGAAGGTGTTCATCTGGAGCATCAGGAGGTGGCTCAAAGAGGTCCTCAATGGCGGGGTTGAGCGTGGCCTCCGGTGCCAAATCAGGTTCGGCAGTCGGACTCTCAGTGAACTCGCGGATGGTGGCGATGCCTTGTTGGGCAATGCCAAGGATGAGTTCGAAGTCTTGGAGCAGCTGGCGTGCTGTGTTGGTATCCATGCTCGCAACGGATTTTGGTCAAACAGTCAAACAGCTGCGGCACGAAAATCAGGTCAAATCTGTCAGGGTGCAAAGGCAGAGAAGAAAACCAGTGTGGTTTCGCAAAGGACGGTTTTTCTTCTCTTTGTAAGGTGAAACCGTGTTGGAGGTACAACCTCTTCAACATTGCAAGATCCTGATCTCGCTGAAATTCAGGAAAGGAAACTCGGCTGATCAGCGTGCGTCTGGAATAATATCCAGATTCCTTATGTATCATTGGTGCGGCTGACTTGACGGAGAGCATGTTGTGCTTCTCATGCGAGGGAATGAAGGAGATGGTGCTGCTTGTGAGGTTCAGTCGGAACCCCAAGAAGTCCAGGGCGGCTTCTGTTTCCAGGAAGATGTCTCCTCCATAGAAGTGTTCGTCGCACAGTATGTTGGCTGCCGGAGTCGAGAGCCACCTGGGGGTTGCGATCACGAGTCTGTTGTCCACGTAGCGGAGCAGGAGAGTATCTTCAACGGAGCGAAGTCCCGATGTGGTGTGAGTGTTGGTCCAACATTGTTCGGCGACCGCGATCACCATCAAACAGAGAGCTGGGGACGCGGGGGATCCCATCGGTGCCCCACGTGTTTGCCTGAATGAACGAAGGCCGACAGAGAAGATCTGCATGTCAAGGGTGGCCTGAATGATCTCGGGGATGTCGTCGAGCCACAGGGTGCGTTGTGTGGGTTTGTGTCGGCGACGGCGTCCGTTGTAGACGCGGGTGATGGCAGAGGTGTCAAGTGTGTCCACTGTGAGGTGTGTGGTAGAGGAGTGTGGTTGTCGTTGTCGGTACCAGGTTAGCAGTAGTCGCCAGGCTGCTAAGAAGCGGTCTTTGTCGATGGAGGTGAAAAAACCGGAAAGGTCCTGGTTTCGGTATCCAAATGGGTGTGGCCGAGGCTTAGAAACTCGTGCAAGGACCGCATGAGTTCAAAGAGGTCGCCACCTGAAAACGCGTCAGGGCAAGCCGTGGCCACCATGCTGTGGAGGAGCTTGGCGAGAGCGTCGAGCATGGGTCGGAAGAAGGCGCCAATGAAACTGATGATGGGTCGGGCAGTGGTCCAGTTCTTCTTCCTCTTCGGGAGGATGTAGGCGTTGGCTGGCCTTCCGAATCCGGTCACGGCCCAAGGATAGCGGCCGCGGAATCTGGTGACAATGGTTTCTCGTAGTCGTTGGTGAATCTCAATGGCAGGGACCGGCAGAGGGGCGAAGATGGCAGGGTCCGCAAAAGTGGCTTCCAACATCTTGCCGTAGAGAACGGGACAATAGATCATGAGTCGGGAGTCCGCATGGTCTTCGCAATGGCGGACAAGGGGTTCCAGGGTATGCAGAGCCCGTTGGACGTGGGCGTGAAGAAAGTACTGTGATGTGTGTGAAAGGTGGAGGTCGAAATGGAATTCGACAATAGTAGTGAGGGTTGATGGGTCGAGCGCGGGTAGGTTGTTGGTCCTGGCCCAGTGTTGAAATGCCTGGGTCAGGCGACTCATCAAGACCCCTCGTGGAGGAAAGAAGGAGTTGCGCATCGATCCGGATAGCATGTGGGCAGTGTCGGAGTCGAACAGCTCATGGGTGTCTGCACCGGAGAAAAGAAGGTGTCCGTCATGCTTCGGGAGGGATGGGTGTTGTTGGGCGAGGTCGGTGCATGTGCAGGTTGTTTCACCGAGACTCCAGGTTTTTGCTGCCTGGAGATGTGAGAACAAGGCACTGGAGAGTCTCCGATGTGCCTTGAAGACAATGCGTGGTTGTGCCATGTGAAACGGTAAAGCGCTGCGAGTGGTAGATCGAATAAACCCGCGAAGTTGGGTTAAAAGCAGGGATCGGAAAGAAGGATGGGCGAGGAATGGTGCAAGCATCGGTCTGGAGGGGCCAGGTGGAATGAGGCCCCGGAATCGTAAACTGGATCGAATGGCGGAAAGGCATGCCTGGTGGTGTGGTTCAGGCAGGTGCGTGGCTATGCGATGAAGGACATAGAGAGCGGCGGGTGGGAAGTCTCTGCTCCGTATGTAACGGATGGCATCAAATCGTCGTAGAGTGTTGCTGCCAAGATCGCCCAAAAATCGCCACAAATCCAGGCGGTTGTTCATGCGCTTGGCCAGGAAGGCCTGTTGTAGGGCGATGGGTAGTCGTAGTCGGCGGCGTTTTCGCCAGATGGTGGCGAAGCCCATGTGCCGGGATTGGGAGAAGTCCAATTGGCGTGTGAAGCCCGTGCGTGGCCGGAAATGTTTCTCGATGAAGCCAAAATTGAGAGACGGTTGCAGTTCCTGGATGTAGAACTGTTCAGTGGCAAATAGGTCCGTTGCTGGAACGGCAGTGTGAATGGGCACCGAGGTGTAGTGGTGGAAATGTCAAAATGTGCCCACCACCGGACTGCTAGTTCGGCATTGACCAGATGATGTCGCTGAACTTGGAGTAGTTTCCGAAGTCGGCTGTGGTCCCGTGCCATGAGGGAGGTGCGAGTGGCTCCGAGGTAGAAAAAGGTCTGCCACTTTGGATGGCTGGTGAATCTCAGATAAACCGCTGAAGGGACAAGCTGAGAAGAGAAATCGGAAGCAGGGTTGTCCAGGCCAAGTCGAGTAAGCAGGGCTTTCAGTCTGCCGGAACCACAGGAGAGATGGCAGACGTCAAGTAGCTGAAGCTGTGCGAGTAGCCAGGAGCAAAAATGACGTGCGGTGACGTCATCGGTTGGGAAGAACCGAAGAGTGAAACGGAGGACAGTGAGAAATTGGCAGCAGTGGTGTTGCCAAAATTTGTGCTGCCTGGCTGTGCGTCGTTGTCGGTGTGCTGTTGAGAGTCACTGGTAGAAGTGACTCGCAGCGGCCAGGATGCGGCCCAAGGCCGATGACCCCAGTTTTGATAGGGTTCGCACCGGGATGCCCCATAGCACAGCGGCTCGTTCGAGTTGGGCTCTGGTGTCGGAGTCCAGTGTGGTTGCCCATTTTGCGCAGTCGTTGGACCAGCTTTTTAGGACTTGCTTGCTCTCTTTGCTGGTTTTCTGGGAGGTGATCCATCGCTGGACTTTGGTGTCGGAAAGGTCGGGTGGGAAGTTGTTGGTGAGCCATTGGCAAGCGTGGGGAGGTGGTTGGAGCAAGTCGCGGGGCTCCTTCCAAGTGGGTGGGGAGGGGGGATGGGGAGGGGTCGGGGTGCCGCCGTGGGTGGAGGGGTCATGAGGGTTGCCGCCGAGGGTGGGGGGAGCCGGGGGGGGTTGGGAGTCGTCTGCAATGCGAGTGGGCAGGGGTAGGGCGGGGGATCCGTCCTGCGGTGATGCGTCAAGTGTAGTCAACCGTGGTCGCTTCATGCCGAAGTCCAGGAGGGAGGCCTGAGATGGATCGGCTGGGCGTTTGTTGGATGAGGTGGGTGTGGGGGGGAGAGGGGGGGATGAAGCCTGCTGGGCGAGTTGGTTGTGTGCGTCAGCAAGCTGTTGCTGAAGCTGGAGTATGGTGGCCGCGGAGGCCGGATCGGCCGTAGTGGTGGGTCGGAGGGAGATGAGGAAGTCGAAGATCTTGTTGGTGAGTAGCTTCATGGCTGCTGGTTTGGTGGTCGAGGCGCCCTCCTGCGTGGCTACATGGAGGGCGAGGGCGTCCAGGTCGAGGTGCCGTTGTCGGATTTGGCTGAGTAGTCCAGCAGCAAACACTGATTCCGGCATCGACTTTGCGACAACGATGCGGACTTCGCCTCCGTGGGCGAGGTGACGCAACCACCAACTGTTCCACTGTTCGTGCATGAGGTGGAGGAGGGGGACGCGAGCGATGTCTTGTCCCTCGATGCCCATTTGCCGAGTAAACGCGGTGTGCGTTATGACCTTGGGCAGGTCGTACCCCGCGACGCGGGTGGTGTCGTAGTGATCGTCGCCAGGGTTGAACTCGGCTGGTGTTGGGACTGAGTGGACGGGTCGAAGTGCCGGGGGAGGTTTGGTTTGCGAGGCGGTGGAGGGGGAGGGGGAAGGTGGAGGGCGGGTGAAGTTGCCGGGGGGAGGGGGGGGAAAGGGGTTGCCGCCGGGAGGGGGGGGGAGAGAGCCGCCAAAGGAGGGAGGACGAGGGCCGGGGTGTGGTGGGAAATGGGGACTAGGTTGGCCGTAGGTCTGACAGGGAGTCGGATGTGTAGTTGGCGGTGTCCATGTCGTGGAAGAGCATCCGTAGGAAGGTCCGGACAGGGCCCCGCACGGGTTTCCGGCCATGTTGTTGCCGTACATGATGCCGTGATGATGGGATGCCGTGGGCGAAGGCTGCGGTGGTAAGTTTTGCCTTTGGAGCATCGGAACCAAACCTCGAGGGGGTTGGAAAGCCATGCGAAAAACACGGGGGAAAAGGAAAAGTTCGAACCAAAAAGCTGGTGAGCGGAATCAAGCGGGTAAGGTCACAAGGCGAGAAAACGGTCGCAGAAAGGCAGAACAGCAAAGCAAAGAAAAAAGGCGATCAAACAGTGCACCAATTCTTTTCCTGGTTGGGTGGAAGATGGTACACTTGCGCCCCGCTAAGCCGGGCGCTGCAGCGCGATGCCTCTCAGCATCGCAAACTTGGAGTGAAGGCACCACTTTTTGCCTCGGCGGCATGCGAAGTGGCGCCGCACGTTGTGTTGATCCTCGTGGCTTCCCCCGGATTCGAGGATTTTGTGCTGATTGATGGAGCGTAGTTCCCCAAAAGCGATGGCGCCGAGTTGAGACTTTCCGATTGTAAAGTTCTGCAAGAGCTGGCCGAGCGTGTCGGGCGTGCATGCCGTGGGGGTGGCCTGAGCGTAGCATCCAAAGCTCGGGTAGTCATGGTTCTCGGGCCTCCAAGCAGCGGGTCGGATCATGTTCTCATGGCACATGCGGCGCACTCGATCCGGGGTGGTGCCGTGCACATACATGACAGCGTGATGGGAGGCCGTGCCGGATCCAGCTTCCGGGTCTCCGCCAGCAACTGGCCAAGGATGAGGTCGGGGAAACCAAGTGGTTGCGAACACCATGCCGTGTGATTCCCGTCCCAAGAGGTGGTAGAAGCTGGGATCGAACGGTATGGGATCATCCGTGTCCATGGTTCGCAGTTCCCAGCATTCCGCGAGGAGATCGGCATGTGAAGGTGGCAAGGCAGGGTCCAGGTCCATCAAAATGGCCTTAGTCTGTTCCATCCTGGAGATGTCCAAGGCTGGAAGCGGGTCCAGCTCCCCCAACTCCCTAGGCGTGGGAACTCGCAGCGGGTCAGTCTTGGCCGTGTCCATGACGTTTCTCCATAGATCAAGCCACCGGTTGTCGGAAGTGGTGGTGGCATTGATGTCCGCCTCCGATGGAGGGGGATCCAAATCACCGGTGTTGTCGAAGGGGGGTTGGGGAGGGTGAGGAGTAGCCGGCGTGGGTCGGGGAGGGGGAGGGGGAGTGGAAGTGAAGGCCGCCGCAGGTGCTGGGTGAGGGGGCAAGCTAGTGTTGTGGTGGCCGGTGCGGGAAGTGGGGTGGGGTTGCTGCCCATGGTGCTGCAGTGACCAGGACGATCGTTTGTCCTGGTTGTTTCGGTGGCCGGTGTGGCTGGCGCCATGGTGGTGCATGTCCCAGCGGTTTTTGTTCTGTGGTGGGTATCCCCACGATTGGTTCCGCCAGTGTGAGGAGGACCATTGAGACTTGTTGGATCCTTCCCGGAAGTGCGCCAGGAGTCCTTCCCGGAAGTGCGCCAGGAGGTGGAATCATGAGTAGTGTGAGTGGGTCGGTGCGAAGTCGTGGCACTGGGTGCAGGGGAGTGTCGATGGTGGGACCTGTGTCGGGGGGAGCGGGAGCGGAGGGAGACAGTGGAGTGGTGTGCACGTCGGGAGTGGTGGGAGTGTCGGGAAAGGGAACGTGACCTGCTGTAGCTGCGGGATCGTCGGGTGTCGTGTCGTCGGTGCGACTTGTTGTGCCTGCGATGGTGGCTGGTGTGGGAGTGGGAGTGTCGGTGCTGCCTGTGGCGGGAACGGGATCTGCGAGAGTGGGGAGGGTGCCGAGTGTCCGGGGGAGGGTGGTTGGTTGAGGAGGTAGCGGCAGGAGCCGCAGCGGCAGCTTCGGGCGCGCGCGCCGGCTGAGGCTCGGGCAGTGAAGATGGCATGCTGCTCTGAGTCATAAAAGGCATGATGGTGCCAGGTGCCAAGTTGCCGTAATTGGGAGGGCCACCGTAGGGCATCATGGCCATCGGGTTGCCAAAATTCGAGAGGCCGCCGTAGGGCATCATGGGGAAAGGTGTGAAGGATGCCGTCTGCGAGTTGGGCGACGGTACAAGGTTCATGGGCTGCGTCATCTGGGATGACAGCTGCAAGTTCGGTCCACAATTGCCTGGTGAGCCGGACGCGGTGCCGGTCGCAATGCTGTGCAGGAGCGAATGCATCATGTCATAGAGCTGGTGTCCAGCCATCTCGCAAGGGAGAGAGAAGGTTGGAAAGGGGTGAAAACAAAACCACACCTGCAGCAGAAAAGCGTCAAAGGTGCAAATGCATGCGAGCCAACTTCAACCTGCGAATCGAAACCAAACAGAGGGAATTCCACCAGGGGACCGCCAAAACCCCGCGGCAACGGCAAAAGTTTCCACAGAAATGCATGCGAGCACACAGGGGTTCTCAGAGGTGCCTGTCAAGTGGCCTCATGAAAGTGCCTCATGTGGCTATATGCCTGATGAATCTGAACTGAACTCATCCGAGACGAAAGCTTCCATGAACGCCACGAATTGCAGAGTTGGTGTATGACCAACTCGTCACTGGCGCATGAAGCTTAGGAGCCTGAAACCTCGTGGGTGCAGCCTTGCTTCAAAGGCAGGCAGTGCAGGCAGTGCAGGCGCATGAAACCAGCAGAGCACCAGTAGGGTGCGGAATACCTTAAGACCTCAAGCTGCAGCCTTGATCGTGGTCAAACGCGCTGAACTGAACTGCAGCTTGAACTTGAACACTTGAACGGTCTTCCCCTCGCAGGGGGCTCCCGCATATGGCGAGTCCAGCCCACAGCGCCATGTCGGACAGGCCGTGGGTAAACACACTTATCTCGAGAGGCTTCACTAGCCGAGATGCAAAACGCAGTCAGTAAAAATGCTTGAATGCAAATGCAAATCAACAGGTCACAACATCGACACCGAACAGGAAGCAACAGCGACAAACAGAAACCGCAAAAAGAATCAGGAAAGAGGGTCAGGAAATAGGCAGGTACGCCGGATTGATCAGATCCGGTATCCACCGAAGTGCCGTAGCTTCATTGGACTGGATAGGCAAATCGGCTCCAGTCCCCCTGCAATGTGGAATTTCCGTCCGTGCTCCAGGACGCTTCACACACACACACACACACACACACACACACACACACACACACACACACACACACACACACACACACACACACACACACACACACACACGCAACAAATAAGACCCGCCCCAATGGTTTGAGCTGTTGCCCCAAGGCTTACCAAGACCCAATCCTTGCCAGTGTCTTGGGAATGTGGGCTCCCTGATGTTGAGGGCGGAATTGCTTGCGAGTGGGGGTCTCGCAAAATGGTGAACCCCCTTTCGGTTGGTTCAAGGGAAACCACAAACGATCCCTTGCCATTTTTAGCAAGAGGCCTGACCTTTTGTAGTTTTGATGAAAAAGCAGGTGTTTCCCCAAGGTTTTTTTGGGGCGATTCGATCTCACCAAGCCGTATTTGGGGACCCACACCAAGCCATGTTTAGCTGACCTCCATTTCGCACTTTCCGAGTGGATGAGCCAAACAATTAAACACACGTTAACGGTTAACGTTTACCACTAAAATGGTCACCCAAAAAGTAACTCTCAAGTCTAGAAACCAGAAACTCCGGGAGTGAGTCAAGGGGAGCCAACAAAAAACACCCGTTTTTGTTGGTTCTTGACACTCAACCCAAAGCTCAAGTCTCAACTCTTGTGCTACGCTACTCCACGCTCGCGCCTGGCGAAGTCCGATGTGCCCAGCTCCGATGATCACGATGGGGTGCTCGTGAGGTGTGCGCTCCCCTGGGCCGAAGCGCAAGGCCGGCAAACGCGTGCAGCCGGTGGCAACCGGTGGCCTTGGACCGAACCACCTGCAAAAGCTTGATGTTGGCCCACACAAACTTGTGTTTTGATGCTTTGAAGGGTAACTTGAGGGTCCAACTATTGGTTTGATCCCTTGGTTTGCCTTGAAAACCATTTCATGTCAGGGCTGCCTTGTAATTTCCGACACTAATTGGAAGCAAACCGAGTGTACATTACATGCATTACCCCTGTTGACTTACTAACACAAAGTGCTGTCCAAAAACATCTTAAGTAATCCAGCCTGCGCGACCCAGTGCATCCGGGAGTATACACTTGGACATGGTGAGCTGGGCAAAACGACTAGTTCCCCAAGGAGTTGGACAAACCCGCCGGTGCCACCGCTTTCGGGGTCAATATGTTGTATTCCTAAGAGCTGTAAGCGCAGGAGTCCCTGCCCAGGCTCTAGAGTGGTTGGGAGCAGCTGTCAAGGAGAGTTCAAGGGGCTCGCCTGGCTGGGGATACCCGGACTTATGTTTTAAGGAGGGGCCGTTTCGGCTGGGGTTTGGTTGTTCTCCATCGGGGAGCGAACTGCGAAAAATCCGAGCATGAGCATGACTAGGGGCAAATGAGCGGCCCCTGCTTCGATTGAATGGATCAATGGAACCGTTGACTTCTTTACGAACGCTTCAAGTTGTTATTGCGGCTTTCCCGCCCTGACAATATAGACAGACTGGACACTGACAAAACACAAACAACAACAAACAAGCACGACAGTGCTTGCAAGCATCCAATGCAAGCAGAAACTCAGCGCTGCACGCTCCCAGCTCTTGAGATTCTTCACCACCACCTGTCGAACAAATTGTCGTCCTCAAGTTTTTTCAAGGGGCATTAGAAAATAATACAGGGCAATCAAACGGGCAATACTTTCATTCACAAAAAAAAAAGGTGCACAACAAATAACATAGTATGAAGAGTCATCGATCCCGGACGCTTTGGTGGACGTGATTTAGGTGGGGAGAAACATGCTCCAAGTACTTTTGAGACTTTTCAAAAATACAATTCATAGCCAAATGTTCAGACTCTCTTCCGTAACTCGGTTTGGATACCCCAGACAAAAATCGAGTGTGTTGTGTTGTGTTGGGAGGGTCCTCTTCTTTGGTTTCAAAGGCGACCACATCACACGCTTGCTTGGGGAACATGAGTGGGTGATATGCTTGTAAGTTATGGCTTTGTCCAAACTATCTGAACATGAAGGTCCAATGAGGAAACATTGTCTGAACGTAGCCTTTCGGGAATTTCGAGTCAGGCTCTATGGCAAAGTTGGTGAGAGGGGAATCTTCGGGGTTGAGCAGAAATCGGTGCAAGCCTCAAACCCAGAAGAAACACACACGTTGGCTTTGGACTCTTCACTCCAAAGCAGTACATCAGGGTTCTATTCCTCTCGAGTGCATCACGCGAACGAAAGAAATGAAACTCACTTACAGTCCTGCCCAATAGAATCACTGCCAAACGAGTGGATTGATCACAGAAAGTCCAGACTTGTTGCTTACCACTAAAGCTATCCTCCCAAAGAGTTCAAGTCCACCAACTGGGTACATGAGTAGGTGATCTTCAGATATACAGTAGGGAAAACCCCCCAAGGTGCCATGCACCTACCTGACTCCACGAGTTGGCTCTTGGATCCACACTCGCGCGGCGAGCGGACTGCAGCTGCAAAAATACCAGGAGCACACCCTGCTCCCGAGAGCTTCCACGGCCACTTTCCGCAGGCGAAGCGGCGAGCCGCTGGACACCAAAGGTACGAAACATCCCATTTAGCCAGCTCCTGTATGCTTCCTCCAGGCTCGGTCCAACGGGGCCTGCTTCCCACTGGGCGTCTGCAACTCTGATGGAGTCCCATAACGGCCGGGTAGCCGGGTCAGCCGGCAACTCTTTGGCAGCAAACAAAGGTTCAACTACGTGCTAGTTGGTTATCGCAAGAGTCCCAAATGGGGAGACCCCCTTTGGTCTCTCTGTAAAGCAGTCCCCCAAAAAGGGTACTAACTCGCAAAAGAAGCAAGCCCATTTCAAACGCCATTTCTGGGACGGGATCTCCAGGTATGGAGTCACATGAAAGAACAGGTGGCACGGTTACCCCTTAAGGCTGACATATCGATCATGGCTGCCAATCGTTCCCTATGACCCCACGCGGAGCGTTTTGCGAGCCTTTGATCTGATCTCCTCCGAGTCCCGGTTTTCTCGCCAGAAGGGGCCTGCGCGTGAGACCGCGGGTAAAAGGCCATTGTTGGATCCCCAATAAAGAGGTGGCGTTTGGGATATCCTAAAGGCAACTTGGCTCAGGGTTGAAAGACCCTGCAAGTGGGTAACACACCGCGCAATCAAAGGTGCCCCAGGATTCTGGGTTTTATCGGTTCCTCAATAGAATCCATTTCGTGCGAAACGAATCGGGTAGATAGAACATCTGGACGTTTGCAACCCAGTGTTTCAGCGGCTTTTTCAAAGGCAGTCCGTGAAACATCACCCCACCAGGAGAAACGCGGCCAAAAAGGTGATGCTCAAAACCACCAAAAAACAGTGAAATATAGGGACCCCTGGCTTGTAACGCCGTGGAAGTTGTTGAAACACTTGAGACAGCATGTAAGGGCAGGATCAACAACTCAGCTCCCGACTTGAGGCTCCGGAAGGCTAAGGTCAGACTGAGCCGTGTAGGCAAACTGGGACTGCGTGGTTGCAAGAAACATTGGACCAAAAAGAGGAGCCCATTAAGAAAAGCAGCGGATCCGATCAAACAGCCAAACAATCCATTGGCAACAAGTAGTCTGCTTTAAGAATAAGGGATGGCAACATCAACCAAAAAGGAGGTTCCCATTGAAAACCCAAAACACCGACATATTACCTCCATGGCAGTATTTGGTGGGTGCCTACCGGGAGTCTCCAAGACACCTTGGTAAAGTATCGGTTCTGGGAGAGCTGACGCCCTGGTTGGCTGAACACAGGGCTGCTGCAGGTGTGCTACGGTTTAAGGAGGTTCTTCCTTCTTTGAGGCAAAGGAAACACATGGATATTCGCCCAGTTTAGGCGGGGGGGGGGGGGGGGGTGTCCTCTATTTGGAGACAACCCCATGTTTCCCAAGAAATCTAAAGATGTCGTTTTGGGTTGAGCGAAAGCTGTAGTAAAAGAAAAACAAAAAGAGCAACGATGCAATTTCCAAGACTACAGAAGGTGTTTGCCCACCCCCCCCCCTTTCCCTCCAAAAACCAACAACAACCATAAATTGTAAGACGTAAAACTAGAAACGTGAACCTCGAAATGTAAACTGAGTGTTTTTGCACGTTTGCCCCCCCAACCACAACAAAATAAGCTTTACGGCCCATAGTCAGTGAACCTTACAATGTAAGTCATGTTCAAACTAGATGGTTGGGATCCCGCTCGTGTCGTGAACACCGGCCTTGCTTCGCAAGGAAGGTGAACTCGCCTGGTCGTCGGACCAAAAAAACGCCAAGGGGGTCATTCGTTTTAGATGGAGCCTCCGTGATCCGTCAAGAATGGGGTCGATACCTCCAAGATGATTTTGGAAGGATCATGAAGATTTGTACCCTCCTTCCAACAATCATGGAAGCTGACGATCGGAGGGCGTCAGGGGTAGTGGGTGGTGGAAATGGCTTCGTTATGGTTTCCGCTCTAACACCACCCTTGCGCAGCAAAGCTCTGCGCCCACCTCTCGAGCGCATTTGAGATCCAAGACAATCAAAAGCCACCCAAAACGTTCAATATCCCTTGGATTTGGACCATGCCCAAATAAACCCTGCGCTTGAGGGGGGAGCAATCATGAATGGACCTCATTTGGCTTCAAGGGTTGGTCAGGGTGCCTCCCAGTGAAACATCGAGCCAAAGGACCTGCAGCAAATGATGTAAAACCCCCGGGTGGCGAATATAGTACGGATGCGATGGCTTGTTAAGCGATCCTGAAACCCATCCCCATCAAAGAGGCCCAACCTCTTTGGCTTTCTTTGGCTCAAGTGGCTGTAGTAGGCCGAAAGGCCAATCAAGACCTGGGAAGTTGGGTTGGGCCTGGCTGGTAAGGTGCCTGAAGGGATGGAGCTGTGTCAAACGTAGCGATGACGTCGAGTATTCGGGAGGGTGACTCTGGTAAGATGAGGTCATTCTCACCAATTCCAGGTGGTACAGGCATGATGGTCAAGGGCTCTTGGCGGATTCCTGCCGCAGGCTGTGTTTCGTGCAATGGCGTGGCACACGCCTACCTGTGCTGGAAAAAGAGCAGCAACGCGCTGACCCACTGCGCATGAGATACCAAGCAGACTGTGGGAAAATGGCCTTCACAACTCCCTGGCTCCTGATTGAAGGTGGGCCCCTCGGATGGAAACAAATGACAATGACCAACACCTGCGTAACCCCAGCTGATTAATTTTGAGCCACACGCAAATGGGTCATACAAAGTACAAACAACAGACATTGTCCTATGGGTGTGTCACCCTCAAAATGTCCGGCTTACCTTTCATCTCCCTTTCAATCAACTCGATCAATGGCACTCCCAAGAAACGCCACCCATACTTATTTGGCGCTTCGGTGAGCTATACTGACAGCACAAGTGGAGACCTGCCTGGGTCTCTGCCGAGCTTGTCAGCCATCATCAGCTTGATATCCCAGACCTGGCCGCACCAAAAGGACAAGATGGATGTGTCGTCTTTCTTGGGGGAAAAACACTAATTTTGGCTGGTTAAAAAAAAGAAACCGAAAGAAAACCAAGCTGTTTGGAGGTCCCCCAATCTGGAGACAACCCATGTTGTGTGTTCCCCGGGCATGAGATATATCCCCCCACCTCGCCAAACCAACAGTAGAACAACAACAGGTCTGACAAGTTCCGTTGAAAAGGACCTCACCTTCGACGGTTTCAATCCAGAGACCCGAAAGTGCCTGTGTCGGAAAAAGAAAGAGAAAACAATTTTGAGGGTCACAAATATACCCATGGAGACAGGGTTTACGCTTTGACCGATTGAACGCAAAGGAAAGCCCCAAGCTTTCGGGTCGTCTGAAAGGCAAGCCCTCATATCTAAGACGAAGGGCACCCGAGCCAATCGCGCGAGATTGTGAAAGCTCCCCAGACTAGACTAAACTGATTCCATTGCAAGTGGCGCTTTTTGCCGGGGAGCGGGGCAACTCATGAAGCTCAAAAGACTAAGTGGGTTGGCCAAACCATGTCCAAACTCATTGTTTTGCCACCCAATAAACTTCCCAACGGTACAGAGTTCAGGAAGGTGGAACCAAAAAGCACCCAAGGAGACAAAAAACAGAGAGAGAGAGAGAGAGAGAGCGACTCTTAACATTTGAGTTGCAGCTGTGGCCGCAAGGAGCGAGCTGGCGGTCACTGCGCACAAGCAAGCCGTGATGCGCCACATTTCACCTCTCTTTGGTGTTGAGAACGAAGGGAGCCCCGAGGCAGGTGTCTACATGCACATTCAAAAGGACGAATTGCATTTTGCCCAGGGGTGAACCAACATTTGTGTTTACGAGGGTGCCCTTTTTTGGGGTTGGCTAAAACACAAAGCCAAAAGGAAAACCAGCCATTTTGCGGGCGTCCCCTCATTTGACACGTTACCACTTCATCTCACAAGCTCTCAGACTCCTTGCCTCTTGCTCTGCGAAACATGCCGGCAACACAGTGGTGCTCACTTGCGCTGGGATGCGCAGAACCTGCGGTGAGATAAGATGGCGGCCCCCCCCAAATCAATTCCTTGGCTTGGGCCCACAACCAGTGTGCACAGAAAATACTATGTTCTGACTCTGTTCCATAGTTGGTCTACCCTAATATATTATATACCATGCTTGGAGACCCCAGTTAGGGGGGAAAGCGGTGAATATGAGGAAGCTTCGCAAAACGGCGGACCAGCTCTTCGTTGGTATAGAAAGTTTGCAACACGCCCACACATACGCTGTATGTTGGCATAGTGGCCGTAATTCCCGTGCACATGCAGTCCTGGTCGCATGTCCCCCCCCCCAAGAAAAAAAGAAAGGCCTCTTCGCACGCTGCCCTTGATCTAAGTCACCTGATCTACAGAGCCTCGTGGATTGTTTGCAGGACTGGTACCCATGACCCAGAAATTTAGGGGAACCCCCCAAAAAATGGACTTTGGTGCCCGCCTTAGATTCCGATTTACAACCACCCCAAGAAGGGTGGCAAAAACATACCCAAGTGAAAGAGCGGTTCTGAGATGTCCACTGGGAGCCATTCGCCTGCTTAGCATCGAAACCCAAGCTTTCTGAAACCCTCTGCTATGGATCCCTGAAGGCCTAACTTTCGATTGCCGTTTGTCAGGTTCACTGTTTCCTCCCTTAAGAAGAAGGTAAAGGGTAACCAAAAGAGTACCCGAAAAGCGCCAAGAAGGCGGATTCCACAAAAGACACATCCAAACCGTTTCAGCAAGACCTAGTAAGGGAACCTTGATGGTTTCAAATCTGGTATAGTCATACCCGGCTAGCTGTCGTGGGCAAACCCTGATGTCAAACCATGAGAGAAACACATGGCTGCTTGCCTGGAAGTGGGTTTGAATGGGTGCCACAACCCTTTGGGCTAGAAACGCCCAACCCAAGCGGACACCCCGATTCGCCTCGCCCGTGCTCTGCAAGGACAACTCGATCTCCCGAGCTGTCTTGCTCATTTCCTCCATCGCCTGTGTCCGTTTGCTCGCTTGTTAAGCGTAAAACTTCTGGTGCGACTGGTTGTGGAAGCTGAGGTCCTTGATCCCTTGCTAAAGTTGTTCTTTTTTGGAACAATCTCTTTAAGCTCCAAAAAGCTAAAAGTCTAAGGATGTGCCTGGCAACCGCCAAGCAAACCTCCGGATTCCTTCTAGGAAAAGGAACCTAGTGGCCCAGTGCACCCCTTCGGCCGCAAACAGAAAAGGGGGACAAAAAAGGGGACACATGGGGACCACTTCCTTATAATGTTTTTGAGTGGAGCCCACCAAACAAAACGAGAATTAGAGGATGGCCACTAAACCACTGGGCTTTGGCTGGGTCTGGGGGATTCTTCCCGGGTCTGGGAAAAAGCGCATGGGGGCACGCACACCTGGTGAATATACCTTCGCTAGGACGAAAAAAAGGCAGACATGTTTGATTGACACAAATTGGACCTGGACAGCGAATTGGATCTTGACAACAAGTAAAAACATGAATAAAGGACAATTGCAAGGAAGGTGCCTCTTTGGGGTGTGGCAAGGAAGTCCCAGCTCCATAGAAACCAAACCACATGAGACCTGTCGCAAGCAAACCGTAAATACACACAGAAAGAAAGTGGTGAAGGCATGTGAAGGCCCACCAGAAAGGAGGTCTGAAATGGGTCCTTTGGGCGCTGCTAACACACCAAGAACTCGGAATTGAAACCAACACACTCCAGTTGCAATATGAACCTTTGCCGGGTCAAATGTTAAGCATGGAGTGTGTGGGATATCATTACTCTCCAGTGTCTCATCGCTTCACACGAAGGCTGCGATACACTGATCCCCTTGTGCAAATCCCTATCGCCCATAGGCGCAAAAGCCCAAGAGCTAGCAGCCCGCGGGTACTTAAGAACGTACCAGGTGGTACCCAACAGCAACCCGCGAACCCTAGTTTAGCGTTCCGAACCACTCCGGAAATCTCCGGAGATTGCTTCATAGATTCCAGCTAGGGGCCTGGGAAGGGTAGAAGTTTCCTGCTGCAGGGAACCAAAGAAAACAAACTAAGGTCCCCTTATGCTCTGGTCATCTTTTACCCCATCTCTTCCCAATGTCGGTGAGTCTCTGCGTGCGAAATAGAGGATTCACAAACACAGAACAAATTACCCATCGCCATTTGGCCGTTTGCACATTGACATGTTTTTTTTTTTTTTTTAAAGGGCTAACTAGTCGGGCATGATTGTTTGAGGCTTTCTACCCTTTTTGGGTTGATGTTTTTCAGAGAAAAGGAAACCAAGCATGAGCTTCCATTTTGGGTGCCTCTGCAAGCCTGGCTTTGAGGGTACCCTTTCCAGGGTTCGACGGAAGGGGACAACCAGTCCCACAATGTTGACACAAACCTCTCTGGCACGACGAGAGCGGTCAGCTCGAGCGGTCGGGCCTTGCTGTGCTGCACCAGCGACACCTTGCTGGGGTCCCGGAAATTCTCCGGGTCAAACCTGGCGGATAGGTCCCCTGGAAAAAAAGGGCAGATTTCCAGTAGTGATAGAATCCCTTCAAACCAACAAGGGGAAAACAAGTGGTCACCCGACATAAAGACCAGGAGAACTGATGATTACCTATAGTGGCAAGTGGGATGCACTGGGTGCAGGTAGAAAACCGGGTGTGAGTGGAAAACATCTGCACTAGCAGTTGGCAACATGGGCAAATCGCGATAATTCACAAGTCGGAAATTGGAAATGGCCTCCCGGTTCGCTGGCTGTGCCAGAGAGCTTGCTGCTGGTTGAAAGGGAAATGAAGCAAACCCCAAAAAGGGCAAGAATATGAACAGGTTTGATAAGTCTGGTAATGACACTACATACATATACGAGGCAGCTCCAACAATAGCTTGTCTGGTGTGTATCCATTCCGACGTTCGGATGCGCCAAATCTTTTCCCAGTATTTGTCTAAGGTCTTGTGGTATTGTTTGTTGGACGTCCCGTATCTTTTTCCCCACATAGCTGAAAGCTATAGGCTATAGGGGTTCTAACTTCTAGTAAAGAGGGGCAAGTGCTTTGCGAGATATGGGCTGGTGCTAGGGGGGGTGCAGTTTGGGGTGCTGGTGTAGGTGCTGATTTGGGGAGCTGTTTGAGGTGCTGATGGCAGTGTGGGCTCATCTTTTCAATATTGACAGTAAGGTGCTAGGGGGCACGCAGTTTGGGGTGCTTGTGCAGGGGACATTTTGGGGGGTGACGGTGCGCACATGTTTTTTTTTTTTGCATTTTGACGATAGGAGGCAGCGGGTGCTGTCGGGCATGCAGGTGACGGTGCAGACGCATGTTTGCATCTTGACGGTATGCTGCATGCAGCTTAGGTGGTTGTCAGCGGTAGTTTGGGATTCTGCTTGGGGTGCTGGTTGATTTTCGCAAGATTGACGGCTGGGTGTCTTGGAGGGTGCTGTTTGGGGTGCTCTTCAGGGTGATGGTGTGGGCGCATTTTTGCTCGATTGACGGCCGGGTTTTGCTTGGGGCGTTCTTCGAAGGGGTGCTTCTGGAGGTGCTGGCGTGCAAGCACTGCTATCTGGGGTCTATGCTGGTGCATTTTTTGGCGGAAAACATCACGCAACACGTGCATGAAATACACCTACACAACGTAAATGACGGTAATGTTGAAGCCAACTCATATATTGGATTACACATATGTATATATATATATATACACATAATATATATATATATATATAAATATAATGCATATATATATATATATACATACCGCAGCTAAAGCCTATTTTCTGTTCCTTGCAAGGAGCC